TATTATTTAAGATACGAGGCTAGCCTATATAAATGAAGGTTGAATTAAAAACGTTTTTTTTATATTTATGTACTAAACCAGTTTTATTAAAAAAAAAATGTTTCTATAATGCTAAAGTGAAAGAGATGGAGTAGTACAGCTTAAATAATAAATGTAAATGTGCCTGCATGGATTTTCACCCCGTTAACATCAAGCACGTTCGGCTGCAGCCGCGGCTCGGAGTCTGTGAGGACGTGTGTCAGTCTGCTGAGGAGCTCGAGCAGAGCTGGTTCTCTTATCGCTCTCACCAAAAAACATTTGTTGCCTTTGGGGATAGATTTCCAGTTTTTTACTACATTGTAAGATGTTTCGCTGCCAAAAGTCATAGCACACTAGTACTGTTTGTATCACTCAAGATGTTTAATTTTGTGCTTTTTTTGTTTGTTTGCTTGTATATTTTTTTGCTGGGGGATTAAAAAAATAATAAGTGTGGCAAAAATCAAACAAAATACAACCACTGGCAAAACTTGTGAAATACCCACTTTTGGCAAGATGCTATTTCAATTTTTTTATTTAGTTTAAGAAAGATCAATCACAGAAATGTCCAAGTGTATTGCTGTAAAAACTTCCAACCTTCTGGCATTAGTCAACAATGAAAAAGAACTAAATATAATTACTGTAATCAGTCACAGTGAGTTTTTTTTACATCAAGTACAGGTATGAAGTCACACTGGAATTTGCAGTTCTCAAACAAACGCCTGACTCACAATAAATCTCCAAATTAGTAGAGCCCGACTGATATGGAGATTCTGACTCGTCAATACCAATACGGGTCCGATATGTTGGCTGAAAATTGTTGAGCTTTGTCCACCCTCAAGAATCTAAGTGAACAGCTACTTTTGAACCTGTTTTAACACTTGAAGTCTTGAAACAGTCTTCCTAATGTGTGTTCACATGTTCTATCCTCCACTATTCACCTTAAAGTTGTCAAGTGCATTACAAAAATATAAATTAAACAAAGAAGAGCCGTCCCTGTTCTTTGTTTAAACCGTCAGTCACGTGTGGTGAAGGTCTAATTAATATTGACCACAGTGGCATCTTTATTTTATTTTTCTTTGCAGAAAGGTAAATATTTCAGACAGACAATGCATTTCATTGAGGATGACAAAGATATTGTTTATATCACAGAGATACTTTATATATATTACCTCTGCCTTAGACTTGTTGTTCTGGTTAAAGTTTAACTAGGAAACAGCCTATGCTAAATGTTAGCTTGCTAAGTTTAGAGACATGTAGCTCAGAGATCCTGAATTGTCATTCACAATGACAAGCTAATGACAAGTGAGTTGAAAGATTGAAGATAATTAATTTATTATTGTTATTTATTTATTAATTTTTTTTACAGATTATTTACGATAAACTTATCATGCTCTGTTCAGCAAAATACTATTAGTATTTTTATCTGGACTGACCCTTTGATCTGCTCAGAGACGGATTATAATAAAATTATGACCCAGTCCTGACTGGTTTAAACTGGGCCAGCAACTCTAAAAAAGAGTCTCCCAGGGATTCAATGTCTGTCAAGGAAGAGTTTTTATTTTTTATTATTGGCTCGCTGCATCACGTAGAAAGGCTTTTCTGCACCAGTATCATATTTCCTGACACGTTAAAACCATATAAGATCCACTGAGACCACACTTAGACCCTCCCCCTTATCCACGTGATAGACTGCTCTCCTTCCGTGAAGGAGGAGTCTAGGCCTTATATATTTGTAATGCCATGGGACAACCGGCCCTTCCGGTCCCTGATCCTGCGTCGTGTATCGGACTGGCCAGCGCTGTGAACCTCCTCCTGCCTTAATTTAATACAACTGGTAAAACTTAATTCACGTTTCCTTGATGTATTGACAGTGTGAGTTGCCGCTTCGAGCCGGTGGGGCAACGTGAGCTGGATGGCGGACCTGGGGTCCGAGATGAGGCCTGAGGCCCACAGCTAGCAACTGCTCAATGCTCAATAATCCAGGTATACAATCCAACAAGCTTCAGTTAGGTCATCTGGACAGTTTCTTTTTTTGCTGAAACGATACAGACGTATCAGAGTCAGAGTCAGAGTTTCTTTGTTGTCATTCGCACCTCATGTGGTACATGTGGTGGAGCGAAATTATGTACACAAGGTCCCAGTTACATCCAACAATAAAATGTATAAGAAAAACAGTAATAAGATCTAAGATATGAACTAAGAAAAACATCAACTAAATATACACTAAGCACTCATAACATAAAACATTGAACATTGAACATTGTATACCTGGATTATTGAGCATGGACTTTTTTGGTTTTGAATCAGTTTGACATGACTGTCGTCGAGGAAGAGGGCAGGCATCGGAGGAGGGGGCGTGCCAAAGACACCATCTTAGCACCAACATAACTGGTTTCTTCCACTTTGGAGTAAGCTGTTGGGAGAACGAATCAGTTTGTGTTGTGTGTTTCCTTGACTGATGAAGCCTTCTGGATGGAAAGTGAAACATTTCAGCAAAAAAAGAAACTGTCCAGATGACCTGACTGAAAAATGTTGGATTGTATACCTGGATTATTGAGCATGGACTTTGTTGGTTTCATTCACTCTCTCACTCACACCTAGGGACAATTTAGAGTTACCAATCAGCCTAACATGCATGTTTTTGGTCTGTGGGAGAAAACAGGAGTACCCAGCGAAAACCCACGCATGCACAGAGAGAACATGCAAACTTCACCCAGAAAGGTTCCCCGTCCAAGATTTGAACCAGGGACCTGCTCGCTGAGAGGCAGCAGCTCTACCAGTTGTGCCACCGTGCTGCCCTTGTAAAATAAATCTACAATAATAAATTATCTTCAATCCTCTAACCCACTTGTCATTAGCTACATGCCTCTCAAGTTAGCAAGCTAACATTTAGATAACCTAGGATAGGCTATTGCCTTGTAAAACTTTATCCAGAACAATAAATCTAACAT